AAATTGCTCGTTTGAACATAATTTATAGGGAAGTATAATAATATAGGTACTAGTACGATAGCGTTTTCGCGTTATTACTTATTGGGATAGGTATAGGTTACCTATATAACAGGATAACCTATATAACGGGTACCACCTGGTTTATTTACAAGAGTAATCGTCTGTCCACCCACTTGACCCGACGAACTGAGCACTATGTTATTACTATTACCAAAACGCAAAACAGAGACCAGCGCAGATTAATATGATACGAACGGGTAGGTCGTTGGATTATCGCTCGGCCGATCTTCCAAAACTATATCTACGATGTGTGATACACGCTATGGGGCCAATAACATGTGACAACTCGAGTCATATTGCTCATGAACCGAGAGGCATGTGGTCGAGTAAGGTCGCCAACCACGAGCCGAGACCCCAAAAGGTCGGAGCACCGTGGATTTTTTATAGTTGGTAAGACCAGGAATGAAGAAATCCTAACGAGAATAAGAAAAGATAAACATAACACACTAAGTAGGAAAAAAAAATCATTATATTATTCTAAGGTGGGCGCCGAGAAAGCCACCGGCATAAAACTCGGACAAAATAAATAAAAAATGACACACACAAGAACAATAACATATACCAGCCAAATATGGCAATAATAATAATTCAGTAGGGATACCGGCCACGGTGATAAATAGGTAATAATACGCAAATGTACAAACCACCATGCACCTGTCATGAGTGCCGTCCGATGGCGCTACGGCGACAGCGGTGCTCTACTCTCCTAGCATTGTGCTTGCACCGGAGTAGGGAAAAGAAGTGCTTATTCGGCCACAAACGCACGAAAAAGATGACGGGTGACAGACACAGTGGGAGTGGGAAGACAGAGCGAGAGCATGTGGAGACGTAAATTAATCGGCCGATATCCCTATAAACACGTAATAAGTCGGCGTGGCCCAGACCATGGAGACGAAAGAGGGGAGCGTGTGTGCGTTGTCGCACCGGCAGGTGTTGTCGTCGATCGGCGGACTTGGACCCACGGGACAAAGTCGGCTGTCGCACGCACACGCTACATTTGTATCACTACAGCCTATGTGTACAAATACTATAGTCAAATAGTCATCCAACTCTGATCGTCACAAACACTCGAGCACAATAATATAGTGCTGCACACACAATAAGTTATTGTGATATAAATGTAAAATAATGTAGTGGTATTATAAATATTGTGATATATAATATTATCGTAAACGCGACGGGACGACCGAGTGCACGTACAATTTGCGAAACTAACGATGCGTTTTCTTTATTATTATTATTATTATTATTACGATTACCTACTATTATTGGATGGATAAATATATTATTACATATTATACTCAATGACCGTTTGAACATTTTTTAAAAGAGTTATATTTGATAAGAAAAATATTTATTTTTAACACTCGTCGAACACGATAGGTACTATTATATGTACATTGGTACTTACTGTTTATTTTAGGAAAAAAATATTTTACCACAACGTAGGTGTTTTAATGATAAATTCGGAAAAAAACACTCGAGCAAAATTATTATTTTTTTTAAAAAAGTATGATCGAAACGTTAACCTACTTTATATCTCAACGTCTTCAGAGAGATAAAAAAATAATAACAGAGTGGTGGGGAAAAAATTTACCATCGACGAGTGTGCCATCGATGCGTATCACGGTTTTTCGGTCGTGCCATAAAATTTGATAACATCGCGAGGTTTCATCATTGCGCGATAGTTGCAATCGATATCCTATCACCATAAAATATAATACAATAAAAAACTGCGCAAAAGGCACACGCGCGCGTTAGACGGTGCGATTCGCTTGTGCGGTTACGCCCGGTCAAACGTATTATTTTGTATCGCAGCGGCTGCTTTTCTATAGAAGATTCGAAAGTTGTATTAAGAGATATCTGTGTGCTAGCTATTATATTATTAATGTTATTTCTATGACTTGTATTATATATTTGTACTATTTGTATTATTGTTTTTTATCCGTATCGCATCATATGTGTGGGCGAAACAAAAAATCCGAAAAAATAGTCAATCCATAACGGAAAAGGGGGTACGCGTGTAACTCAGCTTTTTCTTATGTTTTGTCTTACGATTATTGCATGTATCGTGGGAATATTTTAAAATAATATACATGGTGAATCACCAAGCGTGCTCACCCGAATTTTTTGTGTTAATAATACATTTATTCATACTATTGTGCTTTTTAGAATTATTTTGATCATACTTAATTGGCGTATTTAGATTTTTACACAATTTAAGAAATATCCCACGATAAAAGGTCCAAATTTTTCTTTTTTTGTACGACCCTTTAATTTTAATCTAAGCTAAGAAGCAGAGTCATGTATTTAAATCAAAATTTGAACGTGTTGTTTATTAGTTATTAAAAGAATGCACTTTATTAGTCCTTAAAAAAGGTTTTACAAAAGTATAAAATATATGTCAACATATTAATTGATCTCGTGATTTTTTATTTTTATATCCTGGCAGTTTTTCCAAATAAAACATTTTAATATTAATAATTACTAAAATTTAAAAATCATCATAGATGGTTTGTATATTATTATATTAATAGAGTTATTCCAAATCTATTATCTTTAGCAAAAAGTTAAATAACATAAAAATTACTAGTTTGAATTTTGTTAGCAAATTCAAAGTTTTGACAAATTATCACGATTTACAGGGAGTAATGGCGATTCTTGTTTGAAAGAAAAGAATTTGGTATCGCCACAGGACACTTCCCAATAAATTATTTTGTACATATCTAAGTTATTTAAAAAAATAAAAGATCATTAATAATATTATAGGTAGGTACTTAAAATTTCAAGAAATTTAAATCAATTAATTATCAGATGAAACAATGACGGTGAGCATGCTAGGTGAATCACACTATATTATAACATAACATGTATATACGAGGCATGTGAACAAATTTTTTTGAAAAGATAATTATTATTATACATCACGACTATGATATATCGTGGGTCACTCTGACTGGTGTCAACGAGACTGACACAAAATTATGGCAACACGGGGTGACCCACCTCGTAGCATTATTATTTATTGTGACGGTAAGTACACGAGGGCGGTCTGTTTGGCCTGGCTAGCTACGGCCATCGGCCGGATTTTGTGATTTTTTTTTTGAGAGAGAAAACCCTCCACTCATCTGAAGTGCGTAATGTAAAATAAATATTTTGTTCAGTAAACAAACTAGTTAAAAGTAAAAGTGAAAAAATCTGATGTTTTATTGTTTTTAATTTTCCGTTTTTTTTTTAAAAAATATCTGAACTACTTACCTACCTCTACAATCTACATACATAATATAAATTATCACGGATAGTTGTAGAGTATATTATTTTGTATAAATATCGAACCAAAAATAATTTAATTTCCCGACGGCTAGAGGAATGCACGAAAGTGGCACGTGAAATTGCGGTGTGGAACAATGCTTTCGTTTGAATCTAAACTTTAAACAAAAAAAAAAACTATTTGTCTTAGCTTTCGATATCCGTGTACAACGAAACGTACGGAAAATTGTTCTGCTTCACCGTAACCAATCGAAAAGTAAAATAAAATCTAAAACATTCAGTGTGCACATAAAATACCGCAGTGTTGTCCTGAGAAAATAAAAACAATCACAAAAACCGACGATCGCAGCAGCAAAGAGGTTCATGGCGGATCGACAGTGGTCGCGTAGAAACATTGTTTTTACAAATAATTTAACTGTGATTATATTATACACACGTGTTGATGATTATTTTAATAGTAAACATACTCTTGATCTGGATGTGCATTAACGTTTTTGATAATATTTTTATTTCTTCATTAATTTGAAAACTATGTTTTTGAAAAAATTGTTCGTCGAATAACTAAAATAACACAATAGTTTATTCGGGCGTGTATAATAACTATTCATCATAATATTATTATCTTGTGTGGCGATAAATTGAGTACCTACAACTGATGAGTCGTTAATCGGTTACCGTCTCTCGTCGTCATCGATTTTGAAGTTTTCAGACAGAATACTGCAGATTATCAAACGGGGAGTTATATTGATTCTAAATAAACTTTGTCTTCTCAGCTCGTTATCTCAATTTTCACGTCATACGAATATGTTCAAATTATTACTATACTAATTGTACGATAAATAATAATAGGATTAGGTACTATTGTTATATTATACGGATATACTTAAGTGAAACCCATATTGTTAGAACGTTATAAAGTTACTTTAAAAGTAAAAATCTACAATGTTTTAAACAAATTTAAAAAAATTATGTTAAAAATCAAAAACTATCAAAAGATTTAAAACGATAACTTCTTGTATGATTAGAAAGCACACCAGACGAATTACATAATATTATGTATAAATTAGCGTTGTCGAGTTGGAAAACAATATACAGAGTGCATCAAAACTCAGCCCTACTTATAACCAGAGCCCAGAGGTGTAACGAAGGGGGGGGGGGCTAAGATTTAACTACACCAAAAATATTCTTATAAATACCTTATTGATTTAATTATAATTATTATATTATAAGTCGATGGGTCATTTGAAATTAATAATTTTGTTAAGTTTACCTAAGTTGGGTCTATGCTTATGACTAGCTAGGTACTTACTGATTTACTAGATCCCTAACTAAAATAGACGCGATCTCGTTTGAAATTTGATTTTTATTAAAATTCTCGGAAAAATATTTTCAAAAACCGTAAATACTTTTCCTAGACGACGAGTGATATGTACTATTGAAAGAATCACCTGGTATGACACTTCGTTGTTGTTGTTGTTGTTGTTGTTGTGTGTGCTGCAGAAGTCAGTATTATTCATACCGCCCCTACAACACAACCTCGATCGCGAATATTGTACAGGTCCAACGCAACGACCACCTTACCGAGCGGTCAATCGGTCGGTCGGTGGTTGAAGGGAGGTGTACCGCGGCTTGTTCATACCGATCGACGCACTCGACGACCGCGGCCTGTCATGCAGTTCGCCGAGGCACCGGTGGACGGCTGTGCCGCCTTGGCCGCCGCCGTCGTGTGCGCGTACAAGCTGGACGTGGAGCAGATCCGCCGGGAGATACTGTCCGGTGGCCGCGGTCGCCGGGCCCGCAGCGAACAGGGGCCGCACCCGCGGAACGTCCAACAGCAACAGCACCTGTGGCCGGGCGTGGACCGGCCGCAGCCCGTGGGCCGTCAAACGAACGTCCGCGCCAGCCATGACCACGCAGGCCAGCGGTTCCATGCGCGTGGCCCTGGTGCTCAGAACACGCTGGTCGTGGCCGGTCGCACCACTCAAGACCCGAAGGTTAGTAATATCTGAGCACGGAACGCACAGTGTAATATACTATGTAAAATATAATATTATTATTATAACCGTTTCGTTCTTAAAAAAAACCAGGGATCTGAAAACCCTTTTTGTATTGAAAAAAAATTTTTTTTAAACCACTGTTTTTTTTAAACTTTAACTAATGACGAGTGTCAAGATGAAATGGACGGGCTAAATACTAGTTGTAAAACCTGACTTCACCCGAGCAAAAATGAGGGAACACAAAATACGGTGCTACAATAGGTGTATTGCTAGCCCATCGTCATCGGTGTATCATTGTGAACTAATTCCACTGAGGTGATAAATCTACCTGTTGCGCCGTTAACTAGGTTTATTTTCAAAAGTGGTGCAAACTACTTTCTGAAATTCCCCGATATCTCTAAAAAGAATATTGGAAACATTCGTCAAAATTGTTTGAGTCCATGAGCCATAAGTCAAAATTGTTTGAGTCCATGAGTCCATGAGCCATATTATACAAACATGAGGACATTGTGTTAAACTCTCGAATAACAAAAATAAACTAAATATTATTATCTTTTATTAAAAAAAAAAAATCCATGATAAAGCATTGTCGGTTGGTAGTCTAGTATTTTTCCATTCAAATATCTAGGTAATTTTACTTATGTCTTCGTAAAATAATAATATTATGTATACCGTTAAATTTGTCAATTCTGTTGGTGTTTACGTATAGAAACTGTATTATTTATAACTGTAAATTTAAAAATATGCTGTATCATGAGGCCTTAATATTAGTAAAAGCAATACGATTAAAATAATAATATTGATAACATGACAACAAGTCCCAGAAATCACCTAAACCAAAAACACGGATCATTAAAAATGTATGATTATGCGAGGATACACTAAAATCGTCAAATCTTTTTAAAAATACGAGATGACTATTTTTTTAATGACCAACCTACATTATTGCTGTGCTCTGAAGTTCGTTGTGTTAGAAGCATGATGATCAACATATTCCACAATAATTAACAGTTACAATTAAAACCTATGTTTCAAAAATGTACTAAACGTATTAAGTTACGTGGTCGCAGTTTATTATAATTGATTTGGTCATTGAAATAATAATATAATACAGAACATAATATTTTGTATAGTGACAAGCGAATCTCATACAAACATTTTTTACGATTTTTATATTTAAGTTTTATCGATTGTTATAACTTATATTAAGTTTGTTTTTTCTTTTATACGTAATGCTCAATAAAAGGATATTATAATACTATTATGTGCCTATACCCGCAGCGGGATTGTTTCTTGAAAACCGCGTTCTTCCATTGTACTTCCATACCTTCGTCACTCGGAAACATTCAAGGTATAATATTATTATCTACAACACACATCCGGTGTGCTGCAGACCGATCCGGCCTACTCGGTGGTAAAATTCTCCCAGCAATGTTTATTTTTAAATTATTAAGGATTTTCATTTTTTATATTTGACGTGATAATATCTCTGCAATAGTCATTGGCTCACCTGAGTGCGTCATCGAAGTCGTGATTACAAAAACGTTTTTTTTTTTTTTTTTTTTTTTTTTTTTTTTTTTTTTATTAAAAATGTTATTCATCAGACGTTTCTATACGTAAACACCAATAGAATTGACGAATTTAACGGGATACATAATATTATTGTTGTATAATATACCTACGTATATGGTCGTATTGGTCGTATTAGTGTTTCGATTGAGGACTAGACGAGACGCGGTGAAAAAAAAATAGATGTTACTGTTGACTAAACCGAAGTGGAAAAACTTTTTTTCAGAACTTTCACCCGTACAATTCACTGTACCTTCAATATTTGTTTTCATAATATTGTGCATTGTGAAGTATAAAATTGGAGTTGCCTTAACTGTTGACACGAATCAGGATTAAATATGCAAACAATATTTAAACAATTTACGTATCGCAGATAGAACTTTTATTTTTATACATTGGTAATAATGAACTACTTTTTTGTATTTGACGATACAGAGATTGGGTTAAAATCCAAAATACAATATTGCAATTTCATCTTGAGGAAAATCACTTTAAAATTGATTTATGAGCGAATTTTTAAAATCAACATTGATGTATTTATTAATATGCTTCTGATTGAGTTTGCGAGTGTACATATTTCGAAGTACCTATTATAGTTCCCAAATAGTTGTTGATGTACTAATGTTCGTCTTCTGAAAAATAAATTATAAAGATTAAATTTCTTAAACATAAAAAATATAAATGACGTGTTTGTTTGCCGGAATTAAATTCAACTAAAAGAGTAATATATATTTTTTTTATCTTAATAAATGATTTAAAAAATGTATTATATATAAAATATTTTAAACGAAACCACTTATTTGGAATAATTTCCAACCTGTATGGCTGCACGGTAACCTACTGTACAGCAGAGCGACATCCACTTACCCACCTTTCCTACTTCATTTTTTTAGTTTATACCACGTTTTTGAAAATAACTCGGAATTTTTTATTTTTACCCTAAAAAAAAAATACTAATCAGATTCACTTTCCTAACAACAAAAAAATGCTGAAGTAGAAAATTTGGATACCAACATTATTTTGCCCCCCTCAGAATCTTAAAAAAAAACTTAAATAAGAAAATAATCTAGAAGCTACTAATAAATATGTGTTATTAATTTCATGCGGTTTAAGAAATGTACTGTATTTTTTTTAAATGTCTTATAAAATATTGGGTGGGTGGGTAGAATAAAATCTTTGCTAGCTGTGTGAAAATCGTTCGCCACACCACTGGGCGGATATCGTTACCATATTATGGCCATGGTAATTTTATATAAGATTTTATTTACAAAATTAATAAATATACGTCAACACAGACCACAAATATATTACATTTTACATATGAAACCGTTTGTGTTCCCGTTAATACCGATATGTATACGGATGACAGTATACTAGTACGTATAGACAGTTTGTTTTCGTCCATCGCGTTGTTCGGTGCACTGTTTGTTTAGCGTGTAGTGTATTGTTTGTATAGTGTATTATGGCTAGTAGAAGTGCGCTTTCAATAGGTGAAAAAAAAGTGTCAAAGCCGATTATGATAAGCTTCCCGAGAAGACGAATCAGAGATTAGCAGCACAACAATTGGGCATTCCGCAGTCAACATTAAATAAGTTACTGAAATCCCGTAACGACATAAGTGACTGCAATAAAAAAAAAATAAAATAAACCTTCAATGAATGGCTGGATGTAGATAAGGACTTACCAGTTTTTCAAGTGATGAATGATGACGAAATAGCTGCTGAAATAGTTTCACATAAGGAACAGGGAAATGATGTTGAAGTGCATGATGAAGACGAAGTTGAATATGCAGAGGACCGAGTACCAGTAAATATGTATTTAAAAAAATGTTCGTTATTTTTTCGATATTTTTTGAGTCGCTGCTTATAGTGATACGTCCCGACCATTAGCCGGAACCGAATATTTTTTTTTCGTTTACACGCACAGTGACGCATTGCCGTTGCTGTCCTCGACGATCTGTGCGTCGGATACGTAGTTCTCAGTTCGTCTTGTTCTCTGCTTGCACCGCGCTCAACAACGACAGAGCGGCGCCACCGGAAGTTGGAAAGAGGCTTTAACAATACACTCGACTAGGCACTAGCGTATCCGGTAAATCGTGCATTGGTTCCTCGGATGGATTGACGCAGTGTTCGATTGTGGTTGGATGTTCAACATATTTCATCATCAAAATAATATTTTCCAAACGATTGAGTGCGTTTCATCATAATAATATTTTCCTCGACAACTTCGTGGACAACGCACTCAATCTTTTCATCTATATTATATATGTATAGTACTATTATATCGTTGCTACTGCTGGTTGCGTTCTCATTACTGATTTCTAAATTAGTGTTCGACGACAAATGTCATGTTAATAAAACATGCATTTAGTTCGTCGCCATGTGTCATGGCCGAGGTGTTTAGATATTATCTTACAACAGGTGGCGGGTACAACTCCGCAGGGTCGGTCTGGAAATACGAATTTTCCCGATGACCTGGACCATAATATTATGGCCTGGTTGCCCGGTCATTTTATTACATGCTTTTCTTTAACTCACAATGTTTCATTCCTGTTGTCTTCAAATCTTGCGCGCTCGATTTGAGGCACTTATTTACGATGAAAAATTCTGAAAATTGGTATAGACATAGGTCTTGGAAGGCAATACAATAATCCGTTGTTATTTTGGGACCCAGACTTCCAGGTCGGCGATGACGGGTGTGCAAAGTCATCTCCGAGGAAGAAGAATAAATAATATACAGGTACGAAATTTTGTTTATAAACGGTTTCCATGGGTTATAAAACTATTATAATAATAATTACTTTTAACTTTTAACGCGTTTCATTGTTAAAACAGTAAGAAAATCCTACATAGAGATTGACAAAGCGTATAGATAATAAAATACTAAACAAATAATAATGTATAAAGAGCCGGCAAATCAACGAAAAAGGCGCCTTGAACGAGCTTGGATAAAGTATCAAGAAAAGAAGGCCAACGAGGGCTCAGAAGCTAAACGGGCAAGATTAGAAATTTTATAAAAATATTATAAATTTTTGCCTCCAGTTAGAGCTTCTCAAGTTTTTCAACAACCTGAACGTATGATTCCAGCTACACATCTTTGGAGATTGTTTTCGCTTGTCGATTTGACAGAAAATATGAGACAACAAGGAGATAAAACATTCATTGATATATTAAATGCATTGAGAGTTGGAGATCTGATGCAAAGGCAAATTGAAATATTGATAAACAAACAAAGCACTGACATGGATGGAGAATTTGCACTTGAGAAGGCCTTAAGGATCTACCCAACTAATGACCAAGTTAACAATCATAATCAGAATGTGATTAAATATTTCAAAAGCTATGGTGTCAAGATGTGGAAAATCAAAAAATCGTTTGTTTCTAATTTATAGTTATCAGTTAGGGCTCGGAAGTTGTTGCATTTGCATGATTTTTTTGAACCAT